GTTCCCTCGGATCTGAAGGCTTGCCCTGACCTGTGCTGGCTGATGCCACAGCCAGTGCCCTCCTGAGGCCTGCTGTGGCCTGTGCCAAGCATGCAGGAAACTCCCTTTGCTCCTAGTCTCACCTGTAGACTCTGACCCCAGCTGGGGTAACAGCTTCGACCTAGGACAACGGGACTTAAGGAAGGGTGGGAGTGGCCTGCCCCCTCCCCGCCAAGGCTAGAAGAGTGAGTTCCTCTTAGCCCAATGGAAGGAATGCTCCTAAGAGGAGGATGGAGAGGGGAGGCTGGTGGGAGAGGCATCACACACAGCCAGGAGCTCTGGGAAATCCCTTCCCTGCCAGCCTTTCAAGAGATAGCAGGCCTAAATAAGCACACTCATAAACCCTGCCCCGTACCCTGCGGAGAAAAATGGATGCTTTGTCAGGAAGCGGACTCCCCGGAAGAGTATCACAAAGCCAGGAAAGAAAACGTCCCCATCATTTTCTTCCTTTCCCGGACTGGGCAAGTTTCTTTCTCCACCTCCCAGAGCCAGGCTCTGAGCAAAGCAAGAACCACAGCCTATGAGACTGGAACCACAGGAGAGGACTCTGGTGTCTGCGGCTGAGTGGGGGAAGGGTGAAACACCAGACACACTGTCCTGGAGCTAGTGTGGAGCCGGGGAGGCCTCGGGAAAGGGACCTAGCGGCCCGAGGCTTGGGCTGCCTCTCCTCTCCTCTCCCTTCAGCTTGCCCTGGAGAAGGAGCAACTGAGTTGGGTGGGCAGGTCCTAGGTGGCTGGCATTGTCCTGATCAGTAAGTGCAGGGTGTCAGGGACCACCTCCCACTGCAAAGGCAGGGAGGGTGGGGGCTCTCCAGCAAGCCTTGGATCCTGGCCTCTTCTGGGCCCGCCCCGCCCTCCCTCAGCTTCCCACCCTACTGTGTTCCCGAAGCATGTGGTGGTTCTGGCTCTGGGACGACCATGACCCACTTAGAGCAGAGCCAGTGTAGCTGCCCCTCCCCTAGGGGACCCAGTGGGGGGGGCAGTCTTCCAGAGGCTCCTTTTGTTAAGCACTCTCTTTGGGGCTCGGACAGGAGCGCAGGCCTGGGAACGCCACCTTCTCTCCGACAGTTGGGTTTGGTCTCCAGTCTCAGGGAGGGTTTTACTGTCTCTAGTCTCCATGCACAAGTGTGGTCCCACTCCTAGGTGCACACTTGCCCCTTCAGGGACACAGGCAGCTGTGCCCCAGATGTTACCTCGAAGGGTGCGATCCCGCCTGGGCCTGGGACTAGAGCAGAGAGGGAGTCAAATGCAGACCATATTCTGCACTTTGGGCCCTTCCCAGCCCTTCCCTACCACACCCAGGCCCTCACCAGGATGAGTGGGTTGGGTGGCCCAAAATAAGAAGCTGATTAAATCCATCTCCCACCTTCGCCCCAAAATAAGAGAGGGAGGGAAAACTTCCTCAGACTACTCCCACGCTGCTTCCTTCGGGACTGCTTCCTTCAGGCCCCGGGTGGGCTAGGTCATAGGAGGGCTGGGGATGGGGGTGGGAACACCCAAGTCAGTCTGGACGCTTGAGGGTGATCCAGGCCTGCTCTCAACTCACTCGCCCAGCAACTCTCCCCAGTCTCTCCGCAATTAACGCAGAGAAACAATTAGCAACAAAAGTACCCCCCCTCAAGGCGCCGGTTGGGGTGAGGACGCGGGGAGGCGGTGGTCAGACTGAGCCCCGCGGCTCACAAGAAGAGCTTTGTGTGCGCGGAAGTTTGGGCCGCCGCGATCCTCGACGCCAGGGCCCAGGGCCCGCACCGAGGGCGGTCCAGGGGCGGCCGGTAGCGCTTGGCCGCGCCCGACGCCCCACTTGGTACCGACGCGCCGGTGCAGGGCCGCGGGCACCTGAGCGCTGCCAAACTGAAGGCACAACTCGCGGATGACACCGGCCCAGACGGCACGGGGTCGGAGCGGAGTCCAGAGTTTACGAGGCTCTTGCCTGGTGTCAGAGTGCGCGCAGAGCCCGGGAGAGCGAGGCCCGGGCCCCGCTGCAAAGTCCTTCCAGGGAAGGGAGGAATGGGAAAGAGGCGGCGGCGGCGGCGGCGGAGGGGGTTGGCTGGAGGCAGGCAAAAGTTGGATCGACTTGCAAGTTTGCAGATGAGGAGGGAACAGAAAGGACGGGGCAGCAGAGTCCCCCCAGAGCCCTGCTCTCAGCGGGGGCTGTCCCCTCGGAGACCCCCGGGCTCGCCTACCCGGCGGGCGCAAGTCCGGGAAGGGCCGGAGGAGCTCACTTACTTCGGGACTGAAGTTGCTGCCTTGGGCCCAGCCGAGGGAGGCGAGCGCGGTGCCGAGCGTGAGCAGGGGGAGCAGGAAGCTGCGGGAGGGTCGAGGGGCGGGAGACATGGTCCGCGGCGTCGGGGCGCCGGGCGGTGCGGGCTCCGCGGCGGGGCCCACGCCCTGGGGTCGCGCCGCCGCTCTCTTTGGGCGCCTTTGTCTTCGGGAGGCACGCAACTTGGATTCCTAGAGCGCAGTCGGCTTGGAGGTGAGGGACTGCTCCTGAAAGTGCCTGTTTGCTCGTCTCTTTTCCGTTTTTTGATCTTTCTTCTGCTTAGTCGGCGAACTGAGTTGGAAGCCCTCTGTGCTCTCTCCTTTGGTCCCTCCCTTCTCCCACAGCCTCTCCTCCGCCCCCGCCCCAATGCCCTCCTTTCCTGGTGGGGACGTGGTTGTTTCAGCCTGAAACCAATTACAGCCAAGAGCAGGAGAGAAGTAGAAAAAAAAAGTTGTCTTTCTGTGGTGCACGCTGCCATCTGCAGGGGTTGAGGCCACAGCCGACAACTGACTAGGAGCCTGGGTGTCCCGGGGGACGGGATGCGGAAGACTTTCTCTTCCTAAGCATTTTTTGGGTGGCCTGATTCCCGTAGTATTCAGCATGTCTCACTTCAGAGTTAAGCATTGGGAGGCCTGATGGCTAGTGATGGCGGTGACATGAAGTTTTCAATGCCTGTGAGGTAGGGACATTTACTAATAAGGAGGGTTGTGTGCTGAGACCTGTGGACAAGTCTCCTCTTGCTCCAAAACTAACACTGTAACAGAAGTCACTGCCTAACAAAAATCACAATTACTTTGAATTTGGGGGCTCACCCCTTTATTAGTGGCTTTTGCAACCTGGCTGTTCTGTGAAGTGTGGACTCCCGGGGTATGGAAAGGGTTCAAGGTCACAGAACTGGGGAAAGCCAAATAAAGGTCTGACTAAAATTGCTGGAAGAGGGAGGACTTAGAGTTAGGATTTTGGGTTTTGTTCAGTTCCTTACACTGGAGACAGTTCTGTAGAGTACAGCTTCGGTGCTGGTGATGGCTGGGCCGTGAGAACAAAAGGAGAGGCATGCAGGGAAGGAGGACAGGCTAAAGCTGGCAGTGAGGAGACAGATAAGAGCCTGGGAGCTAGATCTGGAAAAACACCAAGCCGTGGGACAGAGGCAGGAAAAGTGTGGGAGACAGAAAACTCGACCATCAGCGAAATGTAAGATCCAAGAATTGCATTTGGTCAGCGAGAGGAAGGAGGTAGTGGGGAGAGGAAGGGAGGGAAGGCTAGGGAAGGGAAGCAGCAAGGCAGGGGGGAGACACAAGGTCAGGTGGGAAGCTCCCCACATCCAGAACTACCAGCCAGGTTTGTGGTGGAAAGATGCAACCCTGACATTCAGAGCTGGAACGGGGACAAAGGTCTTGCTTTCAGAATCCAGGAGAGGGCTTGTGATCAATAAAGTGGATGGTTGCCAGGTTACTGGAAGTTCCCAGGAGGTGGACAGTGAGTATTGGTGCCACAGTGAGGGCTCAGGAAGTACAGAACCCTCTTCAACCAACCTCCAGAATTTAGTCAGAACATAACTCATTCAGTGGAAGACTAAACACACAAGCCCAATTCTTTCCATGTCAGCTTTCTGGAGTGCGTGTCTCTTGGGCCATGTATCTGGACACTAGTTGCTTGTTAAGACAGAAGCGTTCATGTCTGCCAGGTGTGGTGGTGCATGGTTTTAAACCCAGAGGCAGGCTGATCTCTGTGAGTTCAAGACAGCTTGGTGTACACGGCCAGTTTTAGGGCAGCTAGAGCTATAGTGAGACCTATCTCAAAGAGAAAACAAGGACCTCGGATGGGAAGCTTTTTTCTTTTTCTTTTTTTTCGAGACAGGGTTTCTTTTATTGTTTTGGAGGCTGTCCCAGAACTCGCTCTGTAGACCAGGCTGGCCTTGAACTCAGAGATCCGCCTACCTCTGCCTCCCGAGTGCTGGGATTAAAGGCGTGCACCACCAATGCCCAGCGCCTTTTTTTTAAATCTACAGCAGATTGCCTCTTTATTTTATGTGCACTGGTGTTTTGCCATAGGTATCAGGTTCCCCGAAACTGAAGTTAGTTGTGGGCGGCCATGTGGTGCTGGGAATTGAACCTGGGTCCTCTGGAAGAGCAGTCAATCTCTTAACTGATGAGCCACCTCTCCAGGCCCTGGGACGCCCTTTCCATCAAAACACTTATGGAATTCCAACTGTCCAGCTGAGCTGTGAACAGGTTGAGTGACTCAGGTTATGCTTGTAGAAGCAGGGACACCAGTGCTGCCCCCTTTTCTTCCTCCATAAAGTAGCTGCTGCTCAGCTGGGTTGACTCCATGGCAACCTGGGGAGGATTAAAACCCCAAACAGGGCTACGTGGCAGGCTGGTGGCACGTTTAGTTCTGCACAGCTCTGGGTTTGTTCTCTAGCACCAGGGGTAGAATAATAGCCCCAGAGCAGGATCTGGCTGAACTGGAATAGAGTTAAGACTAAGGGCACCAGGCCAAGCCTCCCAGGCAGTGATTTTAAGTTCCTCTTGGTGCCTGAGATCTTTTGCTGTCAATACAAATGGTGGAAAAAACAGCTTCATTCTGCATGGGATAAAGCATTCATTCAGGTGACAGAAAAGAAAGCCAGAGTCTGGGAAGGTGGGAACGGAACTGCTTTTTATTGAGGTGGAGGTGGGCTTCTCAGTGAAATCCCTTTGGGTTTAAGACCTTTTTCCTGCTTCCTTTCTTCCTCCAACTTCTGCTGCCTGAGCTTCCATGCCTGTAATCCAGCATCCATTTCCTGTGTCAGCAGCACAATTCGTCTCTGAAACAGACAGGAAAAGAATAAATAACATCTGTGGCTCAAGCGTACCATTGAGCAGATATCCTTTCTCCCCAGAAGTCAAAGGTTTTCAGCTGGTGCTGATGGTGCTGACTGCCACTGGACCGGTCTCTGCATGACAGGAGGAGGCAACAGGAGGAGGTCTGCTATTGGTTCCTGCCGCCAGTGCCCCACAGCCTTCCCTTCTCAGCCGTTCCAACACTTGGCTTGGGCAGGTAGGGTAGTGTATCCTTTGATCCCAGCACCTCAGAGGCAAAGGCAGGCCCATCTCTTGTGAGTTTGAGGTCAGCCTAATCCATATACTGTGCCTAAATGACTGGCTGGAGATACAGCTGCTGGTGGTGTACTTGTCTAGCAGGCAGGAAGCCCTGGATTTGATCCCAAGCACTGCCAAACAGTAGCTCAGGTGCAAGACAAATTATAATTTACGGGGCTGGAGAGATGGGTCAGTCGTTAGGAGTACTTTCTGCTCTTGCGTGGGACCCAGGTTCAACTCTCAACACCCACAAGGCAGCTCACAACCATCTGTAATTCCAGTTCCAGGGGATCTAACACCCTCCTCTGACCTCTGCAGGCAGCAGGCACACATGCGGTGGACACACATTCATACAGACAAAGCACATACAAATAAAAGTCAATCTTAGAGAAAGCAAGGATAAATGATGATTTAAGTTCCCCTCCTCCAATTATAAACATAGCTTTGCTGGAGTTCCAGCCACTCACTGCAAGCTTCTCCCGCTGAGCTTGTCTTCGAAGTTGACCCCTCATTGGGGGAGCAGGACGGCCATCTACAGAGGTGAGAAAAAGACAAGTGTTTGATGTGGGCTGGTCATCTTGTCCAAACATGGGATGTGACAGGAATTAGAGAAGAGTCCGTCTCTAGCTCCCCTCTCCCAGTTTACACCCATCAGGGCTGGGATGGGGGCTAGCATGTGTGAGGCCAAAGTAATACTGAAGAAGAGACCAGCTCACAGCGCAATTTTCTAACATTCATCTGGCATCTTCAGTGGTGTACAACAGAAGCATGAAAATGAGTTCCACGGCATGGTCCTGTTATTTCATTTGGCTGTGTCATTAGCATGGAATTAGGGTCATCTGCAATGGTGAATTCACTGTTTTTATAGTCAGAAGCTCTTCAGTCAATGAAATGTAGGTTTGGTTTCCTCCCTCCCTCCCTTTCTTTCAAGACAGGGTTTCTCTGTGTATCCCTAGCTGTCCTGGAACTTGATGTGTAGGCCATGCTGGCCTTGAGCTCAGAGATCATGTCATTCTGCTTCTGGCTAGTCTCAAACTCACAGAGATCTGCCTGCCTCTGCCTCCAGAGTGCTGGGATTAACTGTGTGTGCCACCACCTCCTGGCTCACTTTTGAATTTTGAGGCAAGGTCTCACTAGGTAGCCAAGGCTGTTGTCCCCTAGCTCTCAATCCTCCTGCTCCTGATTACATGTGCCATTACTCTTTTCAATTTTGTCTTTAAAAAATGTTTTATTTTTATGTGAACGGATGTTCTGATTGCACTGTGTGGTGACTGGTACAGGTGTAAGTGAAGATGGCGTTGGATCCCCTGGAACTGGAGTTACAGTTATGAACCACCATGTGGGTGCTGGGAATAGAACCCAAATTCCTTTTGAAGAAGTCTATGTACCAACACACCTGAGGCATCGCTCCAGCCCCATAATCTTCCAGGACAGCCCAAGTTAGGATTATATCTGCAAGCCATGATCCCCCACAGCCCATTTACTATTTGTTATCCACAGGGTCTCACTCTGGAGTTCAGGATAATGTGGGACTCCCTACATAGGAGCACATAATTGCACTGACCTCACAGCAATCCTTCTGCCTCAGCTCCTCAAAGCTAAGGTTTCAGGTGTGAGCCACCACACCCAGCTCTGGGGTCAGACAAAATTAGAGCTCCTTTCCTCAAACTCTTTCCTAAGTAAAAGGTCCAAAATTTTCCCAGACACGCCCCCAATCCCTACCGGGGTGGTCTCTCGGAGAAAAAAGGGAAAAACCTGACATCAAGGCTCACCGGCGAAAGACCAGTCAGGAAGCTCCGTGAGGGGCCCATAGCCAGCAGAGTTGGCAGCCAGTCCCTGCCTGGGTGGGGAAGCACAGGGGTGAGGACTCGGCGGGCTTCCAGGGCCCGCCGCGCCCCCGCCCGGCACTCACTTTAGTCGCCACTGGCCGCCGGCCCGAGCCGCCGCACTGCAGTGCAACCTCCGGACACCTACTGGAAGAGCAGGGAGTTAGAGGGCAGGCCACGCCGCGCCTCCCGCGTCCCCGACCCACAGCCACTCACTGGACAGCCAAGTCCCCAAAGCAGCCATGCCGGAGCAAAGGGGCCGGAAGTGGGCGTGGCCCCGCCGGCCACGCGCGACGTCGCCGGAAAAACCGGAAGCCGACATCTTGAATGTGGTTTTCCCGACCGGGGGCCCCGCCATCTTGGGTCCGCGTACGGAAGTCCGGGCCGTCTCCAGTCTTTGGAATTTGGGGATGACTCGGGAGAGTGGCATCCCGCGGACCTCACTGTGTGGCATTTTTTTCTGCATGGGTTTAACGTTTGTTTTCTGATCAAGACATGGTCGAGTGTAGAACGAGTCAGAAAAAGTTGGTTCTCATCCAGCGGAACCGAAGAAGTAACGAGTGGGTTTAGGAGATTGTAAGGGTCGCTAAAACAGTTTATAAGGTAGAGCTTCGGGTCTAGAGAAGACCAATGACCCCAGACATGGCTAATGCTACAGCCCGGGCTGGGAAGGGAAAGTGTGTGTTATTTGTGAGAACATTTATGGAATACGATGCAGAGGACACCGTCAAACGCTTTTTTGAGGAACTTGTACTGGTGCTAAAAATTATTTTGTTTTTTGGGACAGTCTCACTTCGTAGCCATGGCTGTCTTGGAACTTAGTATATAGACCCATAGAGATCCCCCTGCCTCTGCCTCCCGAGTGCTGGTATTAAAGGTGTGCACCACCACCTCCTGGCTCTGATTCCTCTTTAAAGAGTGCCCGGGACACATTTTCATGAGTTAAATACACTTTGAGTGGTTCAAACCTGAAAACTGAACTCTGAAGTGCTCCAAATAATCTAACTTGTTGAATCCAAATAGGATACTACAAAGGAAAATTCCACACCTGCAGTCATGAAAGAATTTTAGTCAAAAAAACAGGGAGGAAGAGGCAGGTGGATCTCTGTGAGTTCGAGTCCAGCTTGGTGTCTACAGTATGAGTTCATGGACAGCCAGGGCTGGTACACAGCTTGTCTCGAAAACCCAAAAAAACAAAAACATGATTAATTTCCAGGATGACTGGCTTCTGCCAGCCGGAGACAAAAGCCGGGCACCTTATAATAAGGGCCCTATGGCCTCTGTCTCTTGTCAGTAGGCCTCCTGGTGATGGACTGGTTCCATGAATTTAAGGCTAGATAAGACATGTTATAAAATAGTTGTGGGCCGATCATTCATCGTGTCTTCAATCTGACCAATCCCAAATTAGGGGAGGGAAACTCTTCAGAGACTTAGAAAAACAAAAAACAGTCACAGAGAAGAGACTGGAGTTTGGCTTTCTGAGTCTCCCACTCTACTTTGCAAAGGGTCTTTTTCCTGTGTCTTATGCGTCTGTGTGTTTCCTCACCCCAATAAAAACCTACCCTCAGTTGCTGGTTCTGTCTGTTGCTGGTTCTGTCTGCTGTCTGGGATTGCTCTGCGGCTACCTGTTGCATTTGAGATTTTCCTGAGTTTTAAATCTTTAACTGGCAGTGGAAATAAAACTAATTAAGATCCCTAAATGTCTAGCACGTATCTTAAGCCCCAGCACCTCAGAGGCAGAGGCAGGTGGATCTCTGTGAGTTCAAGGCCAGCCGGGTCTATAGAATGAGTTGTGTGACAGGCCCCAAAGCTACAGAGAAACCAAACCCTGTCTCGAAGGAAAAAAAGAGAGAAAAGAAAACAAAAGAAAGTAGATCTTCTCACTTCAAATTAAAAAAAAAAAAAACACCAAAAACCAGGGGTTGGTGAGATGGTCCAGGGGTTAAGCGCATGGGCTGCTCTTTCCCAGGTCCTGAGTTCAATTCCCAGCAATGGGATCTGATGCCCTCTTCTGGCCTGCAGGTATACATGCAGTCAGAACACTTATTAAAAAAAAAAAAAAAAAAAAAAAAGACTACTAGATGCTAACAATACCAAGCATTTCAAGTAAAGGATACTCAACCTTTAACGCCAGTTCTGTCTTACCTGCCCACCAGGTAAGACGATGATGGGGTACCTTCTAGGCAGCCCTGGCTACCCTCAGTGTTCCTGCATCACCCCTCAGAGTACTGGGATTACAGATTTGTACCACCATGACATCTACTTCTGGCCTTTGAAGGAGTCACTCTTCCTTCTTTCTCTTTCCTCCCTCCCTCCTTCCCATTTTGAGACAGAGTCTTACTATGTAACCCAGGCTGATCTAGACCTCTTGAGCTCTTGGTCCTCCTGACACCATTTCGAGGGTGGTAATGTAAGTCAAAGTCCTTTATGGTGAAGCTACAAGTGAGCCCATTACTGGGCTGCAGGTACAGCACGTGCTGACACGGCAAGAGAACACAGAGTGGAGGACGGCCTGTCTCCCGCTGTCTCCAGAGTGGAGGACGACCTGTCTCCTACTGTCTCCAGAGTGGAGGACGACCTGTCTCCAGAGTGGAGGACGGCCTGTCTCCCACTGTCTCCAGAGTGGAGGACGGCCTGTCTCCCACTGTCTCCAGAGTGGAGGACGGCCTGTCTCCGAGTTCTCATCTCCTTCTGTAGAACTTCGAGGTCTTCACAGAAGGGAAAGCTGATAGCAAGAGCATTGCAGGATGGCACTGAACTACAAAGAGGGAATGGGATCCAAAGAAAGGTAAATAGAGCAGGGTGTTGGTGGCGCACGCCTTTAATCCCAGCCCTCGGGAGGCAGAGGCAGGTGGATCTCTGTGAGTTCGAGGCCAGCCTGGTCTACAAGAGCTAGTCCAGGACAGCCTCCAAAGCTACAGAGAAACCCTGTCTCGAAAAAAAAAAAAAAAAAAAAAGAAAGGTAACTAGACACCCCGATTGCCACTCTGCTCCCAAGCAAAACAAAAGAGCACAGGGGAGAGCTGGATGCAGGGACATTGCACTTGGGGGTGGCAGTAGGACCTGAAATCATGTCGGAATCAAAACACTATCACAAAACAGAACAAAACAAGGCACAGACGTAGAGTACGACTACTACTTCTACTACAGAATTTTCTTTTGAGGTAGATTCTCTGAAGCCTAGGCTGGCTATGGGCTCATTGTGTAGTCCAGGTTGACTTCCACTGTGCAGTGATATTCTAGCTTGAACCTCCCCCTGAGTGCAGAGATTACATGTGAGAGCCACCGCACCTGACCTCAGTCTTTATTTCATTTTTAAATTTGAGACAAAGTCTCACTTAATTTGCTTGAACTGGCCTTGACCTCTGAATCTCAAGAAGGCCTGCTTCAGTCTCCCAAATAACTAGGATGGAGGCCTGGCTTCAGTGTATATTCATATATGTTTTTCTTTTGTAGTTCAGGGTCTTGAACATGCTAGGTATGATATCTACCCATTAATTAACTCCATACATCTATTTTTCTTTCTTTTTTATTTATTTTTTTATTTTTTTGGTTTTTCGAGACAGGGTTTCTCTGTGGCTTTGGAGGCTGTCCTGGAACTCGCTTGGTGGTCCAGGCTGGTCTCGAACTCACAGAGATCCACCTGCCTCTCTTTTTTTTTTATTTTTATGTTTTTGTTTTTCCGAGACAGGGTTTCTCTGTGGCTTTGGAGGCTGTCCTGGAACTAGCTTTTGTAGACCAGGCTGGTCTCGAACTCACAGAGATCCACCTGCCTCTGCCTCCCAAATGCTGGGATTAAAGGTGTGAGCCACCAACGGCTTTTTTTCTTCCTTCCTTCCTTTTTTTAAAGATTTATTTATTTTGTATACAGTGTTCTGTCTACATGTATGCCTGCAGGCCAGAAGAGGGCACCTGATCTCATTATAGATGGCTGTGAGATACCATGTGGGTGCTGGGAATTGAACTCAGGACCTCTGGAAGAACAGCCAGTACTCTTAACCTCTGAGCCATCTCTCCAGCCCCTGTTTCTTTTTAAAAGATTTATTTTATGGTTATGGATATTTTGCCTGTATGTGTGTCCGTGCACCATGTGTATGTCTAGTGCCCATGGGAGTCAGAAGAAGGCAGGGGATCCCCTGGAACTGGAGTGACAGATCATTGACAACCATCATGTGGTGTGTGGGGGTCTGAATGAAAATGACCCCCAGAGGCTCAGAGCGTGGCACTCTTAGGAGGTGTGGCCTTGTTGGAGTGGGTGTGGATCCAGAGGTAGACCTCGGCTACTTCTGCATGCCACCATGCTGCCTGCCGTGATAAAAATGGACTAATCCTTGGAACTGCAAGCCAGCCCCAATTACGATGCTTTCCTTCAGAAGAGATGCTGTGGTCATGGTGTCTCTTCACAGCGATAGAGCAGTGACTAAGACAGGGTGCTGGGAACTGAACCAGCATCTCTAGAAGAGCAGCCAGCGCTCTTGACCATTGTATCATTCTCCAGCCTGCTCCCTACCCTCACTTTTCAAAACCAAGTCTACCGCTCTTGCAGACGACCTGAGTTTGAATCTCAGATCCCTTATCAGGCACCTCAGAATCACTTGTATCTCTTGTTCTAGGGAATCTGACCCATGTGGCCTCTGAGGCCACATGCACCCAAGTGTACACACCCACACACAGACACATAATTGAAAACAACAAAATAAATCTTTCAAACCACTTCTACATAAATAATTTCATATGGTTTTTTAACTGATCCTAAAAAGGAGAATAGGCAGTGCTGGAGAAGCTTTTCTACAGCTTTTCTTAATGCTTTCAAAAGGCTTGGGGGATGTGGCTATCAGGATTGTAGCCATTGGCAGAGTATACACTTGCTATGTGTGAGACCCTAGTTTGATCTCTAGCAATACACACACACACACACACACACACACAGACACACACACACACACACACACACAAACACTGACTGTGGATTTACTATTTTTTTACAAGTAGTGTCAGAATAGAGACTGAAAGACACTGTTCTTGAATTTGTGTTACTAAAGCCTTTGATCCCAAGACATTACTGGAATCCCATAGTTTTCAGTTGTGGGAGCAAGTAGAAGCCAAAAGCTTGAAGAATAGGCTAAGAGTCAATGTTCTACAGTAATAAGCAAGACGATACCTTCATACCATCACCTTTGGTACCTCAGGGAGCTGGGTCACCAGCTCTCCCATCTCTTAGTAGCTCACACAGGAGGAAGACGCCATCAGTTGGCAAAGTCATTCAAAATGTCAGAAATGCCTTTTGGGGAATCATAATATGGACAATAAAACATGGAAAAAATGGGCTTATGTGTCAGGTATAACATCGCTTTGGATGCCAGCACTTGGGAAGCAAAGTCAGGCAGATCTCTGTGGAGCCTGGTGTACATAGTGAGTTCCAGGCCAGTCAAGACTGCATAGTGAGATCCTGTTAAACAAA